GCAATCCCTTCTCCTCTGTTCTCCTCTCGGGATCTTGGGCATGCACACACACGCACACACGCCCGGCCTGAATTTTAAGCCACTGGGTCCAGGACGTGAACTGTGGTCGACTACATGGGAGTCCAGCGACATAGCCGTTACGCTAACTGCTGGGAGCCAGCCTCTTTAATCACTATGCCATCTAGCTGGCCTTAATGCATCTATTTTAAAGTAGTACAGATACATCTAATTTTACATTTATTATATAAATTTCCATAGTACATATGATCTGATCACATTTTATTATTTTATTTAACTTTATTAGTTTACTTATTTTTACAATTTGACCTGAGAGGTACAGAGCGAACGAGAGAGAGAGAAAGAAAAAGAAAGTAAGCCGCCAGGTCTGGGGCTTGAGACCACGGTTGGCCATGTGGGAGTCCAGCACCCTTCACCATACTACCTGCTGGCCCCAACATTTATTTTAAAATATATATATTAAAATTTATTTTGCGTGTTTCTTCTTTTCCCCTTTCCTTCACACCCATGATAACTACCTAGAAGGTAGCCTTCCATACTTTTTGTGCTCATATATGCATACATCTTTGTTTATGTGAGGCGAGCGTTTTGGTCCATTGTTTTATGAAGTGAAATCATGGGCATACTTCCATCCTGTTTTTCTTGTTCAGTACTGCTTCTTAAAGTTCAGTACTGCTTCTCCAAGTCAATTATCATAGAATAACACTACTATTATTTTGCACGATGTCATAATATTCCATGGTACAAATATAACACACTTTCTATCACCATGCTCGCATTGATACTTATTTCAAGTATTATTTGCTCCTATACATCATTCTGCAACAAACTTTTGTAGGTAGACAAGTAGGTAGAGTGTACAATGTGCTGCACATTCTTTTTTCCTCTGTTTCTCCATCTCTTCAGGATTTGGGGCATGTGTGCCTGGAATTTTTTAAAAATGTATTTAGTTTTATTTATCATTATTATTTTTAAATTTGCTTCAGGGCACACAGATTTGTCAGCAAAGAAAGAGAGAGAGAGAGAGAGAAAGGGAAGTGAGAAAGTCAGCTGCTATGTCTGAGACTTGAACCATGGTTGGTCATGAGGGAATACAGCACCTTAATCACCATGCCACCTGCTGGCCCACTTGACATGTTTTTCAAGTCCTCGGGGCTGGATTTGAACCTTGATCAGTCATGTGGGATCTGGCTTCCTTACCCTCTAGGCTAAGGGACCTGTCCAAGTCTCAGATGTTTTGACTCTTCTAAAAATGAGAATTCTCAAGAATTGGACATTCTCCAAATTATGACCTCTAAGTAAATTAGCAATTTCTCAGGATGATGTAAATATGTACATACTGTTTAGACTTTTTCTTCTAGTTATTCCTGGAACATCTTTTTAGTTCTTGTTTTTTGTTTGTTTGCTTTCTAAAGTCAGAATCTAGTCAAGGTTCATATCTCCACCGTTTTTCCTCCATTTTACTGACTCTTGGAAGAAGCAACATAATTGTGGGAAGTCTTACAAGTTTCTCTAGTTTTCTTGTGATATTGTTAAATTTTTTCTTCTTTTCTATGATTTCTGTAAATTGGAATTGGAAATAAATAGGTTTAGTATTAGATTTAAATATTTTTGATGGAGGGCCAGCAGGCGGCATGGTGGTTAAGGGCGCTGGACTCCCACGTGGCTGGCTGTGGTTCGAGTCCTGGACCTGGCAACTTGCTTTCTTGCTCGCTTACTCCCACTCTCTCCCACTCTGGTCAAATAAAAATAAATAAAATAAAATAATTAAAAAATTTTTTGGTAGGAATATATTGTAAGTAGTTGGGATCTTCATGTTTGTTTAGAAAAGGATGTCCTCTTAGTTATACTATGTTTGATCACTTGGGTAATATGACAACTGGCATTTTTTTTAAAAGGTGCTTTTGTCTTAATAATCCGTGGGATACTTTTGCATCATTGGAATGTCCTTTCTTTAACAACCTTTCCCTTATTTAGTTTAATACCACTGGTGATCCTTTGAATTATTTCATTGGGGACTGCAAAATGGTGAATTTCTATCTAATACTGTAATTCCTTCTGTACTTATTAGTAGGAATCAAGAATAGTTTTATTAACTGGGATTCAACAGTTGTTTCTTTCCAAGGCCGGGATTCAAAGTGCTTTATTTTTTAAAAAGTTTGTTAGTGTATGTATTTATGAGAGAGGGAAGATAGATATGGATTGGTTTTTGACATGATGTCACCATGTTGGGGTCCTCCTACCCCAGTCTCTTGGGTAGCTAGGACACAGATACACACCAACACACCGGCCGTTCTAGGTCAGGCTAGAAACTGAATCTAGGCCTTCCACATGGCCTTAACCTCCAAGTAGCAGAATCATGTCAGCATG